AAATTCGAAGCTCGTTGAGCAGTTTCTTTGCGATTTTGTGATTAATTTGAATATGTCTTTGGTTTTTTTCCTTAGTTTAGGATTTCATTTACAAATTGAGATAAATAAATAGATTTTAAAAAATGAGGATTGCTTGCTTATTTGTGTTAGTTCTAATAGGATTTACAATATGATCTATAATTTTAATTTTATTTTTACATCAAATATTCAAATAAGAGGCTTGGCTTCAGTATCTCGCTCTTGTATCGATAGACCACTTGTGCTGATAAAGATTGAAGGAGCATATAACAACGCCATGATTGGATAAGAGCTCCTATTTTTATTCAAAGACTGAAGAGGCTAATTATGTTTGGATGATCAGCAGATGACTACAATATCATAATTGCATGCCTCCATGGACCTTTCTCCTCACATGTAATTAGGTAAATTCCCTACATTTTTTAGTCAAAAGATGGATGAGGAGGAGGTCATGGCTTCTTTTGCTTTTCAAGAGGCAGGAATTATGTTTCGGGTAGTTCTATGACAGTGTATTAACAATGTACTTCTATGACATAGTATTAACAATGTACTTCTATGACATAGTAGTATTAACAAGATAGTTCTATGACATAGTATTAACAATGTACTTCCATGCCATAGTAGTATTAACAAAATGGTAGCAGTGTTAATACCCTATACTGAAACTTCACAGTGGTAGACATGCATTAGAAATAGGATTTCATAGGGAACTAACAGTGTTATTACCCTATACTGGAACTTTACAGTGGTAGAAATGCATCAGAAATAGGACTTCATAGGAAACAATCAGTGTTATTACCATATACTGGAACTTAACAGTGGTAGACATGCATTACAAATAGGATTTCATAGGAAACAAGCAGTATTATTACCCTATATTGAAACTTTATAGTGGTAGACATGCATTACAAATAGGATTTCATAGGAAACAAGCAGTGTTATTACCCTATATTGGAACTTTATAGCCATTAATCAACATGACAGTAAACTAGCGACTAAATTACTGACTATTTTATGGTCCTATGCAGTCAGTCCAATAGTGAAATCCAATATAGTTACAAGATTTTATCCTTGATTCAAATCTAAAATATTGTTATTACCCTAGACTAGAACTTTATAGCAAGTAATCAACATTATAGTAAAGGTTTGGTTTGTAAATGTCTTACCTTTGAAGCGTTTTCTTGTTGAAATTGTTCTCTAAAATATTGTCTTGGTTTTGTAGGTGGAGGTCAGAGTGTGGTGTTTGTTTTTGAAAGTAGATCAAGCTTGGTGGTGGTTATGGAGTTTTGGTTTGGACAGACGATGAAGACGCTTTTGATGAAGACAGTGAATGAATAGACGTTTTGTAGATGGTTTAGTGAAGGCACATGCTAGAAGTTAAGTTACGGTTTTCTTTTTCTTTTTGGACAAAAGTTACGGTTTTTGAGATGGTAAAATATTTGGGCTTTTTTTATAAAATTGGGATGGGGTTGTGTTTGGGTGTTTTTTGAGTTTTTTTTCTGTTGGGCTTGATGGCGGCAGTACTGTAATTTATAGGAACTTCAACACCAATTTGTTATATAATAAATGGATTTTGGGTGTGTTTCTAAAGTGCATTCTATATGAGGTTTTTTTTAATTATAAATTCAGCTCCTATTTTGGGTATATTAGTGAAGCTCCCATATAAAATTGTATTTGTTAGCATCTTTATGCACTAAATTATGATATTTTATTATTTTATTGGAGAAATAATTTAATAAGAAAGTAACTGAGGCTCCAAATCCCATGGTAATGGCATCATTTTTTGGTCGAAACACACTTTCATTAAGCGAAAGGGAAAGGAAGGAGACACGCCCAACATGCTGCAACACAACCAAATAGGCAGGAGCCAGACTAACGTCTGTAAACAACCCCAAGCAACACTACAAAAAGGCCAAACAAACCAATCACA